AAAGTTGAGAAAGCACAGTTTTACAAAGAAAAAAGTAAATCAAATTAGGTTGTGGTCATTTTGATTTATTATATAAGATATTGACAATGCTGATATTTATTCCGATGAACATTTTTAAATTAGGCCCCTTAAAAGTATAAAAACATGTTGCTTTTAAAAATTAAATTAATCCATCCCGCAATGAAATTGATGATCCCCGCAAGCAGACTCTCGATGCGCAAGCAGTGCGCGGCCACTTGTCGATGTCTTATGCTTTGGCGCCTCTCGGGAAACGTAGCGCCACCTTGCGACCCCCGCGTGAAACTAACACGATAACATATTCTCGCAAGGCCGCATGTAAACACATCGAACACAATTTTACTGTCGCCTCGAAGTTTTTGACCGTTTCATCACTATAGTAATTCTTCCTTGTTCTGTGGTGTTCGCGCGTGTCGTAATTACATGCCTGTGTGCTACGTTGTACTGTAGTAACCGGCCAGGAATATAACAGTAAGCTTCAACTGTATCTGTCAAGTGATTCGACAAGGTAAGTTGAAAACAAATCAGGATGAACTTGAAACCTTTGTTAAAATAATAGTGACTCGCGAGCAGTATGCCTTACAATGTGTTTTGAGACTAACGCTCGGAGATGCTAAAATGTGCTTAACGGGAATAAATATAATAATTGAAAAAGGTATAACCATTACGTCGTGTCAATATAATCTTCTCTCGACCACATTTAATAGTGTGAATCGATTTTTCAAAAGATGGCTAAGAGTATTTTTCTCAGCTTCTAAATTAGATGTCGTTTTTGTAAGGAAGGCCGATCCTCCTAAAACATGCCTATAGTTATGATTGTAAAATTTATAGAAACGAGGACAATATTAATGCCTAGCCATTATTAATATACTATGCCTCGTTCTGGCTTATTCCATGTTTGCTATCTATAGACTTTGGTGAGCATAAATCACAATCATCAGGTATTGTTGTTGTTATGAAAATCGCATAGATATGTGCGGGCTAGATGTAGAATTGTGTGGTTGGCCTGGAAGACGTCTGCATAAAATTTTCATAATACTCCAAATATTTGACCTGCATAATTAAGAACAACTTTACAGTTGTACGGACTTCATACATATATTAATACTGTTATTGTTGCGACTAAATCGGCCCTAACGATTTTCCCTTGCCAAGATTTCGCGGTGTCGTCGTTTCACAAACAGCATGTGCTCATCTTCCAGTCTACACATGTATTTAGTTATCGGCCGGCCCGTTAAGCTACGTGTTTCGTTCGGAGTTGATGGTAGATGACCGCCTTCTACACAGCTGTCACGATATCTGACACAGCTCTCGCAGAACAGTTCCATCATCAGTGTTTTGATCTAAATCATCCCAAACCTATCCACGATTTCGGGCTAAACTCACGGATTGGCAAATTGGTGTGTCTGCATCAGCAACTCATTAGCAGTGCGCTATTGACAACAAAAGGAAGATCATGTTATCGCCGACGATACTCGGCATATTCGGTGTCATCTCGGGCAGCTTGGCGGTGGAACTGACGTTCGAGCTGCCTGACAATGCGAAACAGTGCTTCTATGAAGAGATTAAAGAGAGCACAAAAACGAGAATAGAGTTTCAAGTGATCATTGGTGGTAACTACGATGTTGACCTCGTTGTTAGTGGACCAGGAAACGCTGAACTTTTCAAGTACCAACAGAAACAGTTCGACTCACTCGAGTTTACGACGCAGAGCAGCGGCGTGTACAGCGCATGCTTCTCAAATGAATTTTCGACGTTCAGCCACAAGCTCGTCTATATGAATTTCCAGGCTGGCGAGGAGAGACCCCTTCCTGGCCACGCAGCCGAAAAGCAGTCCGCAATGACGATGATGGAAAATTTAATGAACCAAATTCACAAGAATCTAAATACAGTTGGCGATTTTCAGACGCACTATCGCTTACGGGAAAATCACGGACGGAAAATAGCAGAAGATCTTAATTCGCGAGTGATGTGGTATTCGGCCATTGAGTCGTTTGCCATTTGCTCGGTATTTCTGACGTATGTCATTGTAATGAAAGGCTTCTTTAGCGACAAGAAAAGCATTCGATAGAGAAAATAGTCAAGAAAACGGTGTTAGTTGATGCTATCAAGTAGATAATTGAAAAGTAATTATATTATAATATTAAAAATACGGGGCGAGCGGCAAGTAAATTTAAAAAGTGGGGCACAAGGGGGTAAATTGCTGTTTGGTACAATAGGGATTATGGGTGGAAAAATATGTAAAGAGGGTTTATGGATGCTCACCGGTTTTGTTATTTCCACCTTTGTTCGCGCCTAAGATGGTCCTCCAATAGGCGAATGAATGTCCTCAATATTGTGGCTTAATTGCACGGTTTGAATGGAGCGTGATAAGTCGGTTTATATCATAAGTCACATAAATAAGTAACCACATAGGATGGCCGAAAGAGACAGTCGTTAGAAAACTGGTAGGTAATGTGGCTTTTGTTAATAATTAAAAAGCAAAATAGCTACTAGTAAATATGGCTGCTAAGTGCAAAAAGATCGTTTAAGCACACAACAAAAGCGACCTAACATCAGAGAAACGAATTCTGTGAGCTGGCGTACCGCGTAGCGAATATAGCGTGTATTCGAACGCAAGAAACGTACCAGATACAGAGTTTATATATATATATATATATATATATATATGCATATGCATATATATATATATATATATCCGGTGGAACAAGATGAGGTGTTTAGTAGATTAAGTATTATAAGATATTAAGTCGTAAAAACAAAATAAAAGTGTGAATTCATTCTTGTACGTGTGCTGTACTTACTTCGTCCATAAGGAATAAAAACCTGAATACTCTACTGATAATGTTGAGATTGTCAAAAATGATTGTGCAAGAAGATACGTCAAACAGAGAGCAATGAGTTATTGATGCGTTAATTTTTAGTTTATAGACCTATAAAGTTCTATACAGTTTGCATAGCCCAGCTGAAGTAAGCTAGAAGCCAGTTTACTTAAGTGTCGTGGCGTGAGGGTCATGAATACAATGTGGACATTCTAAAAACTATTTGCAATATGGTACGTAATGAAAATCGTACAGAATACAGAACCTCTTCAAACTCAAGGGCATTTCAAAACTTTTTATGGAAATACCGAATTAGGATGTGAGACCCTTATTCGGGCCGATCCAAGTAGAAACAACGAGCTGATAAATTTTTGTGTTTTTGTCTGTGTACCGCCCCTTTTAAGCAATAAGGATGAAATTTGAGTAATTACATTGTGGCACGTTATTAAGGAATATTTGTTCAAATGGAAAGTTTGTATGATGCGGCTACGCCTACTACTGGATAACTTAGTGATTGTCAAATTTGTAGCTTTGAGTTGTCAATTGTAGTATATAATAGACTTTGAAGTGTTTCAGCAACGTTACATTCTAGAAGAACGATACTGAAAGAAATTTTTGAAAAGCTATTAGTGAGTTAATTTGTCTCAGAGTAATTGAACACTCAGTATATATTTCTATAAAAGCTTGATTCTGAAGTTGCATCTAAATGTACTTGCACGATCTTGTACTTAATCAAAATTATTTTGTGCTTTGAATGATGATAATACCGATTACATTCCTTTTTGGGTAAATAAAGGTGCTATTAAACTAAATTTGCTGTTGCAATTTTTGGGAGGTTTCCCGATTTCCTTGCTTCTGTTTTTTAATTGTTTTCTCTTAAATGCAAGAAAGTTTAAGTGATCGTACGGAAAAATAGTTATACGTTTTATTTGGCTTTTAATCATGCGAGTGGAGAAAGGTTACGTTGTTAATAAAAGTCCACGCGACTGGGGAACAGATACAGTGCATATGTTCATATTTTATGGTGTCATACATGCTTCCCCCAGTTAGTTACGTATGGGCAATATTAGGAGTGAACTTCCACTGTAGGTGACGTTTCAAACTTATTCAGGTAGTCTAGTAGTCGAGAATTAAATCGATTATTTATCTAGTTAAGTCTATATATTTATCACGATGTTACATAATAGTAAAATTTAACGCCCATGTGATTAATTAGCGCCATAACCGTTCCTACCGTGAACCCTGCTTAAAAGGTACGGATTTGTTTTGACTACCATCTCGGATCTTAACCGTGATATATTAGCACGGGAGTCATTTAGAAGGGGGCTCACGGCATAAGCGAGGCTCCTTTCCGCGAACAGAAGGCTCAAAGTGTCAGCCCCAATGGAAAGTATTATATTCCATGTTTATTTTCATTGGTTGTTGCTTATTCGACCTGCTACATTTTGCTGGATTTTTCTGCAATGAATTTATAGGACAGCATGGCAACAGCATGCCATAGTAACCATTTGCCGACGCTGAAATTTGAACCAGTGGCCGCGCGTTCGTAGTTAGTATACATAGGCATTTAGAGAGATGCGCATTAGCCACGTAGATCATGCTGCCTTTTTCCTATAGTACAAGCGAATTTGATAGGTTTACCATTAAACGTCGGTACCCTCGGTAAGATGACTCGCGCATTTACTGCTCAACTCGAAAAAAAAAAAAGGGAAATTATCGAAACGCGTTCAGTCAAATAGCCTTAAATCGTTTAAAATATTCCAGGAATTAAAAGTTTTTAACAGAAGTAGATGACTCTCGTTAGCTATTCTTTCGCGACTGTCGTTTAATATGGACATACATCAGGTCGCCGCTTTGACTAACGACCGACGAATCAACTGCTTCAGTCCTTATCCTGCAATTTATTTGTGAAAGCGTAGCATCCATATTATAATTTTGTATTAGACAAAAAAAGACAGTTAAATTGTGCTGGCAGTTGTTTCCGTTGAGGATATCATTTTAAGTCTGCCTTCAGGTCTAAGTATTGCACTCTCTGGTACCATCTGTACGTATCCATACAATATAAGCTATAATTAATTCAATGAATAGCTTATTAGCCTTGTAAAGATGTCATATTACCTTAAGCTTAGGTGGGCTTCAATTCTGTGTTGACTATTCCAGAGACGGATCATGGCCGACTCAAAGAAGCTTGAGGATCCTCAGGAGATCACAGACGAAATGAAAGAAAAGTTGTTGTTAAATCTATTTAATGACAGCGTTGAGGGCAAAGTCGATCAGTCAACGCAACCCGGTACAGAAAACAACCACAATAGTGTCGATAGCCATGATTTCCTTAGTGGCAATGCCATGAGTTCGTCAGAAGATGGCGATCAATCGATTCAAACTAGGAGCAAAAGAAATACGGGAACTAAATTTGAAAGTGAACCTAACCCCAACGAGCAAAGTAAGCCTCCGACAAACCCGATTGCCGAATTTGAAGAGGAATTAAAAACGACAGAAGAAGGTCTCAGCGAGGAACAATTAAAGGTAAAACTCGGCTCTGCAAAGCAGAAAATTTTTGAGCTAGTTAAGTACACGTCCGCCACTATCGTGCAGGAGCATATGTCCTGTCTATTGTAACAGTACTGTAGCATGGATCATCATTTCAATACCATAGTAAAGCCGGCTAAAATGATTCTCCACAATTATTCTTTGAAGGAGCGATGTTTGCATTTTTTTGTGAAAATTGCTTGGGAAGACTATGTTCTAAAATGCCTTCACATGTCATTTGTTATATGCAAGAATTGCGGAGATAGCTCCTTTAACATTAATTTTATTAGAAGGGGCTGATTCCTCTAATGATGATGAAGTTATGACTTTGCTCTAATGATCATATTTTGTGATTGCTTGATAGGATCGACACAAACGATCTCAACAGATAAAAGGCGACGCTAACAATCTGTATAAAAATGGACTTTATGGGGACGCGGCGGCAAAATATTCAGAGGCCCTGGAACTATGTCCCCTGCGAGAAGAGAAGTTGCGATCTGTGCTGCTTGCAAACAAAGCTGCCGCTCTTATGGGACAATCGAACAACAAGGAGGCGCTTCCTTATCTTAACAGAGGTACAGTAACTGGAAAGTTACTTAACAAAAACAAAATATGTGACAGTTATGAATAATAATAATAGTAACAATGACTGTGTTAGCACATTCTCATTATTGACAGCGCGGTCTGCCTCTGGAAAGCATGCAATAGCTACCTCTAGTATTCTATAGTAACTTATTTGGCAGCTATCAGTACCGCTATCGATGAATTTCACGACAGATTTCATAACTGATAATTTATGTCCTTTAATTTGCAGCTCTAGAGCTGGACCCTGATTACTTGAAAGCCCTCGAACGGCGGGCTCGTCTTAATAAAATTCTAGATAACCTCGACGACGCACTACGGGACTACGAAAAATTGCTTGAAATGAAACCCAAACATTATGATTATATATCGAATGCAAGAGAACTTCGAGAACGTATTCATGTGCGAAACGAAGAGATGAAGCGGAACATGATAGGTAAACATTAAATTACTTTTTGTTTCCAGTTTCTTTTAATTGCCTTTTAGCAATAGTGGAGATTCAAAAACACATTTTTAAATTTCCTGGTTTAAAAAGAATTGCCCGAACTTGTATTATTGGGTCCCGGACAACTATCGGATGCTTTTAGATCGGGTTGATAGTAGTTTCACATAATTGTATTTTACGTAGAGTGTGTGTCTTCTCAATGTGGAGGTCTTGATCACTTTTCTTGTTATTCTTTAATAAGTAACCTTAAGTAAGTAAATCAGTAAGTCATTTTTACCATTTTCAGATATGCTTAAGCAGCTTGGTAACGTGTGTCTCAGGCCATTTGGCCTATCGACAGACAACTTCACAATGGTTCCTAATGAAAATGGCGGATACAACCTCCAAATGAGCGGGAAGCATCAGCAATAATTAAGCATAGTCCATCTATTATCAGTTTTGAACAAGCCTTAGAAGCTTGGTGCAAGTATTTTAAGGTTTGTAAAAACGTGATTGCTTTAGTCGTATGTACATTTAATTTATATGGCATAATATGTGGTTACGTTTAAGGGTATTGTGAAGGAGTTGGTAGAGAAATGCTGGGGGACCAAGATAATGCCGTTATTCGCACCCTGGCGTCGGTGCGGCCTCTAATGTTCGAACTCATAACTGAGGCAGGCATCATTATCGGCCTGGCTGTAACGAAGCGCCATAAGCTACACGATCCCCTAACGTACAACTTAAAAAAGTGCAGAAGGTAACATCCTATTTTTAGCCAGCAATGTGGGTAGCTCGTGGTGTTTTACTCTACCTCGTCCCATCAATCGACAGATACGTTTGTTGATATATAATTAAACAACGAAATGGAAATAAATAGTCGTTATTTAATATTATTCTGGCGTGATGTTGAGTTTACATCGGATGGTAGGTACGGCTACTTGTTGGCAAGGTAACACATCTTACAAACAAAAAGTTTTCTTTGAATGAAATTTCTGTTCATATATAAATAACTTTTAAATGGAGGTAAAAGCTGATCGTGAGTGAGATACATATCTTTTTGGCGAAAAGTGGCGCAAGAACATGTTATCACGCGCTAAATGCGGAACGCATAACCAAAGCGTATATTCGCCTTGACATAAGGAAAATATTAATTTGGATAATTATATATTTAAATATTCTTCATAAAAAAAAGAAATAAAATTCAGCAATTAGATCCTACGACGTAAATTAAATTTATTAGTACGTGTTATTAAGGCATTCATTGTTGTTGTTGTTTCAACCGAGATGTTAGTAATATTTTGGGTTAGGTTTATTACCCTTCTATTTTTCAGAAGTTAAGCTATTTTCAAAAGAGATGGGCACAAAACAACACCACCAACTTGAGTTTTTATGATAGATAACTCAGATCTATCTTGATAAACACGGCCTTGCATTTCCTACCGGTCTATTTTATTAGAACTTAAGTGAATTTAAAGAGAATTCACTCTACTTTAAATATCTTCGGTGATATCCTTTGATGCAACCATATTTTTAACTAAGAAGATGAAGTCGTTGACCACTCACATAAAACTGAAATATTATACTACTTGGAAATTAAAAGAGTTTGAAGTCCTCAATGCTATGACATTTATATGTACTAAATAGCCGTTTTAGAAAATGATGTTTATTCATGAACTTGGTAATAATTTTTTATTTGTCAGTTGCCATCATTGCTAACTATTATACTACTGCGCTCAAAATAGGCGCTGGATTCGCGCTGCAAACTACTAGTGATAGCTGCCTTAAATATTCCTCTTTCACCTCGTTACTCATATTAAGACCTCACGATTTTTAAGCCCTTTAATGTTATTTTTTAGTACTTTTTAGAAATATTATCAGTAGGTTCTATTGTTTAGATTGCAACTAAGACTGAACAGGGATTCATTATTGACGTTGAGAAAAATACTGTCACACCTTGTTGACCTCTTCGGCTACCTATCCAGGTTTAATGTGTACCAAACAGCTTGTTCCATGCTAAGCGTTTACTTTAAGACCATAACAATTAAAGCACCCATTCTCATTCACCCAATTGGTACCAAACCACTTGTCTCAAGTGTCGAAGGCACTTATCCTCTACGTAGTGTCCTCTACATATCCCCCCCCCCCCCAATCCGGGTCTTAGAAATATCATGTCTAGGGGTCCTAATCAACCTTAGCGAGAAAATCATGCTAAATGAGTTTATGCATCGTCCCTAGTTATTGAAAGCGGAAAGCCTTGTGTCAACCGCCACTGAACGGGGTTGCATATGTGTAAAAACACTGCTCTGTCAAGTGAGCATGTGCCTATAAGACTGCATTGTGTTTGTCTATAAGCGTTTGGGTATCATCAGCGTACCAATGGGTGCCCTTTAGAATTCTCGATGTTCTAGATAAAGTAGTCGTAAGTCCTAAAAGCGTCTATATTGTACTACCGAATGCTTCTGCCTTCTCTTATGAGTTCGTTCAACGACTGTGGAATGACATTTTGTGACGCTCTGAAATCGGCCATTTGCGCTTCTAAGTTATAAACTAAGAAAATTCTGCAAAGTTGCGTCTAAACTCAGGATGCCAAGGCCATATAAGGCTTATTCTAATGCGCCAGCCTCTTGCACGACATAAAGTGAACAAAGCTGCTCTACACAGGGCTGATGCTTTCTTTCAGTGCCACAAACAATAGTGTTGAATTGGTTCTAAAAAGAAAACTTGACTAATGTGTAGCTCAGGGACCATTGTAACGAATTCTCCGCGCCAGATGAATCCGCGCACTATTGCTTTTCTTTTTTTCTTTTGATGAAGGCTGTGTGATTTGGATCGCAAAAGTTTGTGGACAGAATAGTAGCAGTGTTCGACAAAACCGTTTCCTACAGACACGCAAAGTTACTTTAGAATTTGCTTAGGATATACTGGTATCTATCTCGGAAACGCTAAGAAAGCAAATTATCGAATACAAAACCGACAACGGCTAATAGCCAAGCTTTCATTAAAATGATCGCTTATTATTAATGGTGCAATTTTATATCCAGCTTACCAAAGTAATACATCCGGTTAGTCGAGAATGAGTGTTGACCGAGATTCTTTCGTGACCGAAGTGTCACACATGCTTTAACAAGCCGCTCTCTGAGTTCAGTATGAAAAACGTTATTTGTTTTTCTCTTAACCTTTTCTTTTCTGATATAGACGTTTCTACTTCAGAAGTAATTCATCATAAGCTAATTACAATCGAATACTTTCGGTTGCGAGTCATATTCAGTTGACAGCTCATCAAGGCTGATACTGTGGCGCTTACGCAGATGACACTGAATAAAACGGAATGTTTTGTACACAAGATTCAGACCTATTACGATATGTCCTGCGGCAAGTTCATGCTACTTGATGGCAGCCTTTATTTTAACCATTAGCATTCTTACCTCTTTCGAAATTTCGTGCGTACAAGCTACTGGAGAAGCCGGCACAGTTGCAACTTCGAGTTGACCAGGAAGTGTACTGCAGCTTCTGCTGTCATGGCGCTGTTAAAGAGCAAGTTGTTTACCCCTATATTTATAAAAACATCTGTATGCGTATGAAAGTTGAAATAAGATGCGGCTGAAATTTGGACGAGAAATTCTTAACGGGAATTCTAAACTTTAAAGTGTTTTTGGCGTAGCAGTCTTGAAACTTATGCTTATTATGATGAAAATGAGAACAAAAAAAATGAACGTGCTGCAGCGTAAAAAACGGCACTAGACACACATGGAAATACCATTAAGTCAGGTACAAACAACTTCTGTTGGAGAATAATGTTTACCGCTTATTCACACGGTGGCTTTGCCATATGAGTTGATACGCTAGGCAGGAGCTTACCCTCCGTACATTCTCTGAATCTGAGCCCGAAACATCGAAGTCGTCCCTATGTTTTATAGGCAAAGCATGGTAAGGCAGTTTTTTTCCTTCAAGACATCCCTAATTAAGAACGACCCTCACTCCCAACATTTCCGCAACAGAATGAAGCTCTTCATTACATCACCAAGGAAACGTCTGCTTCACCGAAATGCTTCCTGGCATGAGAAAGCGTGGCACATGCCGCTAACGTGTGAAGGGCTGTGTATCAGGTTTCCTCCGTGCATAACACACAACTGCTTGAATATGCCTTATCTGTCTTATGCAGGTAGCTTTAAAAGGTTTTATGGCCTGAAAACATCTGCGTCAAGTGATAGATAACTTTTCTGCCAGGTCTATTAGATAGATATAACATCGATGAGCGCCGCATCCAAGACTAGTCTGGGTCAAGCATCCCATTTATTCTACCACCAGTCAATTATTCTTCCTTTGGTATTTTTTGTTGGATTCTTCCACAACATGCGTCTTTCTCACATCATTAAATCCCAAGGTGTAGTCTCATGATGACAAATCAGAATGGACCCTCGAAGATTAATTTCCTTTATCTTGTCCATAACCGGCCTGTAGTCTAAATTAAGTCGTCCTATGGTCAGAAGCAGAAGTCAGCGAGGAATAGTACGTAATTTTTTAGTCGCCCAACATTATTTACCTTACTACATGTATTCACAAAGAACCCTCATGCTTCCAAAAACAATGACGTGACTAGTCGTTCGGACTAAATCATTTCTTATGGTTCTAAAAAAAAAAAAAAAAAAAAAGTCTGTCAAGCTAGTAGGCTGGTAATTCTACTGTTTCTTTTTCAATACAGTTAATACGATGAAATCAAATGAAATAATTCCGCATGCACTGGGTGTTGTACAAATCAATCTACAAATATTCTTTTTCCTAGCAAAACCGTACACCGAATTACTATCGGGATTATGTCGATGCCGTTCCTGAAGCAGTTTTTGCTTTCGCGCCGAGGTGACAGTCAAAAGCATTTCGAACGAGGGTGCAGCAAAGATTGCCAGTAGGATGCAGAAGTGATTTTGTATTTCAAAATTACCCTTCACCACTATAGGGTGTTCCACAAGGAGTTATCGTACGTTGTCGAGCTTTGCAGGTATTTGGATCTTCTAAGACATGTACAATCGACTATTTACCAAAGAACCTAGGGAAATTATACATATACATATGTCAAACATCTGCAATTAATTTTAGGCTTTCTGAAAGGAAGATTAATTTGATTCATTATGTTAATCGCCGTCCATTGCATAACGCGGTCACAACCATGCGTAAATCGGATTTCAAGCTCGTAAAACACAATCTTTAACTTTCAAGATGGACTTATAGACCAGGTTAATCTAAATAAAATAGGATATATCTGCTGAGTTTGTTTTATTTGCTTAGTCAGTGAAATATGTTTATATTTAAATACATATCCTAATCATTTGTTTACGGGCCTAATCTGAAATAACATAAACATGATATTAATATTGTATATGTTCTTGTCGGTGGATGTTTACTAACATGTTGTATTTTGCGTGCAATTTTATTTCAGGGAAAGTAAAATCTAAGGTGGGAGGCTTTCTAACAGTAAACCGGCTACTTATAAATCCAATTTTGTGTTAAACACTATAGTCGTTCCCAAAACGATTGAGGGTTTTTTATATCTTTAGCTAAGTGACATGGTTTTATCAGCTGTTCGGCATTACTGCTCTTCTCTTTACGTACAGACAATGTGCGTACATATTGATTGGTCGTCCTTGAGCTCTCTTTCATTTCGAGGCGAAACTTCATGGCACCTCAGCGTGAAATCGGACACAGTCGCTCGTGGCATACTGCTGCTAAGCTCTGTAGCATGCTCTTTGGTAGCATTGCCAACAGTGTTTGTGCGTTATGCTCATTGACCCTCGCCAAGGCCGTCTAAAGGCCTCCTCGCCGTTCAGCTCTGGTGCGAAGACCATTTTCAAGAAGCTACTAAACTAAACCACTACGCTGCAGTACATCGTAGCAGGAGATTAGCGGGGTACACAGACAGAACGACCTAAAGCAGAAAAGCGACGATAAAGATAGCGGCGAAGTATGGAATACGGCTCGCCCATTCATCCACCTTTCTCTAAATGATGTCTGCAATGGTGCTCAGTTTGTTGGCAATTGGTACTGTCATTCGTGTAAGCGATACACAAGCGTTGCTGTGGATATTTGTTTGTTCGTCTCTTTCAACTTATACGCTCTCTCTATCGAATTTTTACA